TTTATCCACTGCCTTTTCTTTTTATGACGTCTTTTATCTCTTAAAATGACTCCACAAACTATAACTATTGCTTCTACATCGTCATCCGTGTTTGGTTATTCTAAATTCCCGTATGCTATGTTGGGGGTTTTGTGGATTTTCTTCTGGAATCGCGATGTTTGTGACTGGAATCGGTTCGTGTGGTTTGTTGCTTCTGCCTTGTGGCTGAACATGAACCGATCGAACCTGTTGTACTTTTATCAGCTCTGTTGTCACAGAGGTTTGGAGAATCGGCCGACAATCCTTAAATCTTGCCGTCTAAACCAGACTTAAGACTCACAAGCTCTACTCATCTCATCTCGACCACTGCCCAAATGCTGACTCTGGTTGCTATGGTAACGTTTACATATCCCTTCAAAATAAGATACAGATGCGCCACAAAAACGAACATTTTACTTTCATGAAAATTTTAACTCACGATAACGACTAACGGGAGCCCGGAGCTTGTTTCTCTGCAACGAGACGGTCCCATCTGGGAGTGATGAGAGACGATGACACCCGAAGTGTTGCTTATGCACAGGGTGCTTGGTCTCTACATGGCAAAGCAGTTTGAAGGATTCATCAACTCATTACTAAGCCAGAAGCTGCATATCATGCAGAGCAGGATTATAATGTGGGAATTACTTACCGGGATAAATCCATCCTCCTGTCTCTTCTCTGGGCCTTTTCCCCTTCGCAAAGAAACTTTCCAAAGACACCTGATCTGTTTCTTACTCATTTTGCTGCTTGTTGGCTCAATGTTGGCACGCAAGACGTAACCGAGAGAATCGGGCTAAAGGATTTTCAAAATAAAAGGTTCTCTTTTAAAACGGAAATATTTAATTATTTCTTGTGCAGCCCGGTACCAATTGGTCCACGGACTGGTACCGGTCCGCTGCCCGGGGATTGGGGATGACTGCGTTAGCTCACTTCATTGTAATAGAAGGGCACTGTTATAATGTCAGTAAGTGAAAACTGGAAGGTGACCTATTATGCTTCCTTGAATAGGTTAGGAAAGGTCTACAGACTCTACTAAACATGTTCATTACATTTTTTTTGCAATAAATAATTCCTAGATAAGAATTTAGTTTGTTCAGTTCTATCTTTTTTGAGCTCCTTTCAAAATGAGCTGTTTTATGGCCTTTTGTCACTTTAAATCCAAATAAGCTGCTGCTGTCATGCTCCCCCCAAACCCCTCAACTAAACAATCACGAAAAGATGACATTTGGCTTCACAGGGAATTTCTCAAAAGCATTGCCACATTGTGCATTTGGGGCCCCGTACACACAGAAGGTTTTCTTTCTAAAATGGATTTCAGTTTAAAAAAAAAAAAACCTAAACAGGCCAAAACGCTATTTTTACTGCAGTAGATGCGCATAAAGCTTGTGCAAGTTTTTTTAATGACTGTAGCATCTTAATTACACTATGTTGCCAAAAGTATTCATTCACCCGCCTTAACTCACATATGAGCTTAAGTGACATCCCATTCCTAATCCATATGATGCTGGTCCACCTTTGCAGCTAGAACAGCTTCAGCCCTTCTGGAAAGGCTGTCCACAAGGTTTAAGAGTGTGTTTATGGGGATTTTTGACCATTCTTCCAGAAGTGCATATGTGAGATCACATACTAATGTTGGATGAGAAGGCCTGGCTCTCAGTCTCCGCTCTAATTCATCCCAAAGGTCTTCTATCAGGTCAGGATTCTGTGGAGGCCAGTCAAGCCTGCACAGAATCCTGACTCTATCATGTCTTTATGGGCCTTGCTTTGTAAACTGATGCACAGTCATGTTGGAAGAGGAAGGGGCCAGCTCCAAGCTGTTCCCACAAAGTTGGGAGCATGGAATTGACCAAAATGTTTTGGTATGCTGAAGCAATCAGAGTTCCTTTCACTGGAACTAAGTGACCAAGCCCACCTCCTGGAAAACAACCCTACACCATAATCCTCCTTCCACCAAACTTTACACTGTGCACAATGCAGTGAGACAAGTACCATTCTCCTGGCAACCGCCAAACCCAGACTCGTCCATCAGATTGGCAGATGGAGAAGTGTGAATCGTCACTCTAGAGTACGCACCTCCACTGCTCTAGAGTTCATTGACGGCATGCTTTACACCACTCCATCCAACGGTTTGCATTGCACTTGATGATGTATGGCTTGGAGGCAGCTGCTCTGCTATTTTGATTTCTGAAAGGTGGCATCCCTAGATGTAATTGATATGGTGTTTTTAATGAGGTGAGGGAATACTGTTTAAATTTCACATTTGTGTGCTTTATTTCACATTACAATTTAATTCCCCCATCAAAAACATAGCTTATCATACAAACTACTTCTCCTAGAAACGGTTGTAAATGGCATTAAGGAGAAGCATTGCTTTTTGTTTTGTTTATTGTTTAGGATCTCCATAAGCTATGCATCCATCAAATCTTCCTGGGGTCCATCATTAAAAACACTCAATTGAAATCTTTGAAATATATGACTGATGACAGGGTTAGCCCATATATCAATACAAATTAATTACAGTCCATACAAAATGTTGATAAATTTAGCAAGTATACAATAACCAGCCAATCTCAGTATGGGTACATTGATTCGAAAAAGTTTTTCAGTTTTCTTTCAAAAACAAACTTCTGTCAGTTTTTATGAGAGTTAATGGTAGAGAGTTCCACTGTGTAAGTAATGGTGCATTTGAGAAAATTAGTTTTTGCCTGAGGAATTTGAAAACGTCCTTCAACTGCATAACTGATGACATAGTGATTTGAATTTACATTGTTTTGTACTGAACAATCAAAAAATGTAAAAATTTGGAATTTGAAAATGTTCCATATTGAGAATAATGTCCTATCATGGACTTTTAGCCAGTCAAGATTTGAATGCACTGTATTTATACCAGTTCTGTAAGAACAATTCTTTGCTAAAAGAGAAGATTTATACTGCATCAATTGAAGACTATTGAAATCTTTTTGCATTTGTCCATATTATCTGGCACTATTCAAGCTGAAAGGTAATTAGATTCTTATAAGATTAGTCTAATCATCTGACAGAAATGCCACTACACTGTGGCATTTTCAAACTAAAACTTGAAAACAAGTTTTAGTTTTAGTTTTCAAGATTAATTTTATTATTAAACAACTACAGCGCTCTCGGTCAATCCAAAATATTAATAACCTCTAAAAACCTGAATATTTAATATTGAATATCTTACTTGTTAGTCATTCGTTAAAGTGAGAGTTCTAAACGTACAACTCAAAATTGTAAAATATTTCTGACATTTAGAAAATAAATCGGTGACCCTTACAGCCACCCTTCTTTTCCATAACACTTATAAGCCTTCCTTTCATGGAGTCCGTCAGTTTCTTGATCTGTTGACGATCAACTTTTTGTGCAGCAGCAGCCACAGCCTCCCAGACACTGATCAGAGATGTGAACCGTTTTCCTTCACCATAAATCTCCTGTTTAAGAAAGGCCCACAGGTTCTCAGTGGGGTTTAGGTGGTGAGGAAGGGGACCACTTCATTATTCTTTTATCTTTAAGGCCTTCCATAGTGGAGTACTTTGATGCATGCGATGGAGCATTGTCCTGCATAAAAATCATGGTCTTCTTGAAAGATGCAGACTTTTTCCTGGACCACAGCTTGAAGAAAGTGTCTTCTAAAAACTGGCAGTAGGCTTGGGACTTGATTTTGAGTCCAACTTCAACCCAAAAAGGTCCAACCAGCTCATCTCAGAAATTCAATTGGCACCTTGACTTGGCAATCTAAGTCAAGGTGAGAAAGCCCAGACTGAGCTGGAAGTGAGAGCTTTTTTCAAGCGGCATTGCACAGGAAGGCAATGGCCAGGTTGATCATCTGATGACTTACTTAACGGGGAGTGTCAGAAAGTGTAAGACATTCTTAATGTGACCAAGGCCAATTTCAAGGCATCAAATACACGGCTATGATGCAAAGTCAAATTTCCTTTTAGTTGTTTTTATATATGCATCATTTTCAAAACAACCTATCGTGCTAACAGATCCACAGAGGACACCGTTGCTGTAGCTCTCCACTCAGCACTGAACCACCTGGAGCAGCAACAGAGTTATGCCCTCAGTCTTTTTGTTGATTACAGTTCAGCCTTCAACACAATAATCCTAGTCAGCTTCATCTCAGAACTCACCGACCACAGACTGTGAGACTTGGTCCTCATCTCTCCTCTACCTGCACACTGAGCAGCGGCTCCCCACAGGGCCGTGTGCTGAGCCCCCTCCTGAATTGCCTCCACACCCACGACTACCCAAAATCAATGAACACCCTGAACTCTCACATCCACTAATTATATGATAGTTTGTGTATATGTGTGCATATATAAATTTTACTGAATATTGTAACTATCACCATATTTCTGTTTATATTGTATAGATTATCCTACATTGTTCTCACTGTTTTCAACCTGGCTTTAATCTCATTTTATTTACAGTGACAAACAATAAATTCTAATTCTAACCGAAGGAAACATGGTCACCTAATTGTGCTATGAAATTGCACTATGTGGCTGGAAAATACATGATGCATTCCCTTTAAGCAGCTATTATACAGTGTTCTCATTGGAAACTTGCTCTGTTTGTAGGCTCCAAACAGCGACCCTCCTCCTCTGCCCAGCTCCTCTCTTCCAGAAGGTTACTATGAGGAAGCAGTTCCCTTAAGTCCTGGAAAGGCTCCTGAGTACATTACCTCTAGTAAGTAATAAGCGGATGTAAATTTTTATTCATTAGTGTAATATGCGCCTTTATCGATAGAAAACTACTAACACTAACATAGTTAGCTTATTTCTGGTCAACGAAATGAAGAATAGTCTACGTTTCCTCTCAGACTATGATTCAGATGCCATGAGCAGTTCCTACGAATCGTACGATGAGGAAGAGGAAGATGGGAAGAGTCAGAAGATGCGTCACCAGTGGCCATCTGAGGAGGCGTCCATGGACCTTGTGAAAGATGCCCGAATCTGTGCTTTTCTGTTACGCAAGAAACGCTTTGGCCAGTGGACTAAACTTCTGTGTGTCATCAAAGACAACAAACTACTGGTGAGAGATTGTTGAAAAGAAATACGGACAGAAATGGTTAAGCATATTCTTACAAGCGTGAATGACTGGCATCAGATCTTAGATGGTTTACATAGGATGGAAATAATTACTTTTTCAGGTAAACTTTTTTCCCTTTATTTAACCAGGTAAAACCCCATTGAGATCTAGATCTCATTTTCAAGAGGGACCTGGGCAGAAATCTGCAATACATAATGTGGTTACACAAAAGTAATACAAATTAAAACATATGCACAAGTTTAAAACAAATTACAAAACAGTTTAAAAACAATGACACTGGTTGATAGAATCACATGGCATTGTTTTAAGAACCACTCAAAATAAGTCCAATGAAATCAGATCTGATATCTTGAGTTTAGACTGGAGCTGATTCCATGCTGTAGGAGCCATCACACTGAATGTGCTTTCGGGATGTGATTTTCATCATGGATGTGCAGCTGACAAATCTGCAGCAACTCTGTGATGCTGTCATGTCAATATGGGGTAGACTCTGAGGAATGTTTCCAGTACCTTGTTGAATCTATGCCACCAAGGATTAAGACAGCTCTGAGGGCAAAACCTGGTACTAGCAAGGTGTACCAAATAAAGTAGCAGGTGAGTGTATGTACAGTGACAAATAATTAATTCTATTCTATCTTTTGCCCCTCTCTCACAACCTGCTTCCCTGTCTGAGCACTCTCAAATTAAGGCCCCTGGAGCTAATAAAAAAACTGCCACGTATAAAGTTAGTGGGAAAATGTAATAAATTTACTAACTTCATTTGTGGGTTTAAAAAAATAATTGTTTATTTGTGTTCTAATTGTGAAGCTTTGTGAAAATGAAGTTTTCTGGTTGTTATTCCTGCCTGTGGCATTTAAACATCTGCACCAACAGTCACATTTTCATCCACTAAGCGATAAACCACCTGTTCCTATCTACTTGTAGTGCTACAAATCTTCTAAAGACCAGACCCCACAGATGGAGCTCACTCTGTCAGGATGCAGCATCATGCACATCCCCAAAGATGGCAGGAAGAAGAAGCACGAACTGAAGATAGTCCACCAGGGGGCAGATGCCCTGGTGCTGGCAGTGCAGAGCAAAGAACAGGCCGAGGAGTGGCTCAAGGTAATTCAGTGAACCAGCACCTGCTTGTAATGTGTTTTCTACTTATTGGACCACAGAGCTAAATCCCCTGATGAGGAAATAATATGGGGAAAATTTTCTGCCATAATCCAAGATCACACATGTTCAGTCTTAAAGCAGGATTTCATGTCTTTTGCTCTGAAAACTTTTAATATTTTTTCTTACATTGCTTACATTTATATTTTCAAAGCAGGAAAATTGTTTTTAAGTATTTTTGAATTAGATTGATACATGGTTCAGCATATTTAAATATATTCTTAATGGGGAAAACAGAATAGATTAGGAATAGAATGTTTTGATATTGATGTATGATGAGCATTTTACAAAGCACACAACCAGTCATAATTTTTGAAATAGTGGTGCAGTTGGTAGAGCTGTTGCCTTGCAGCAAGAAGGTTCTGGGTTTGATTCCCGGCCCCAGTCTTTCTGCATGGAGTTTGCATGTTCTCCCTGTGCATGGTGGGTTTTCTCCGGGTACTCCAGTTTCCTCCCACAGTCCAAAAACATGACTGTCAGGTTAATTGGCCTCTCCAAATTGTCCCTAGGTGTGAGTGTTTATGTGTATGGTTGTGTGTCTTTGTGTTGTCCAGGGTGACCCAGCCTCTCTCCCGGAACATTAGCTGGAGATAGGCACCAGCAACCCTCCCGACCCCACTAAGGGACAAGGGTGTATAGAAAATGGATGGATAGTAATATCAATACATATTTATATAAATATACAAACACAGAATTATAGAGAAACGAAGATGATTAAATAATGATTAATGCTGAATAATATTTATTAAACTGCACATATTTATATGCACATGAGTAAATACATAATATCCATATAGGTTTTGTTCATGTTTTCCAGTCCAGTTGTTGTAGCAGAGATTCAGCAGCTGAGATTCATCCGTGAGATGCAGTGAATCCATCTCTCCTTATAGACATTTCCACTTCTCCCTACATCGTTTTCAATATGAAACCTTCTGAACAAAAACGGGAGCTATCTTACTTTTGACAGAGTGAAAGAATTACAAAATTATAAAATCTCGATTAGCCTTCATAGCGGGGATTGAACTCCAGTATTACACTAAGCACTATAGCTAATATTAGCTGGCATTTTGCAGGTGGACATAAGACATACAGTTTGGTAATATTCCATCCATCCATTTCCTTTACACCCTTGTCCCTTAGTGGGGTCAGGAGGTACTGGTGCCTATCTCCAGCCAACGTTCCAGGTGAGACGTGGGGTCACCCTGGACAGGTCGCCAGTCTGTCGCAGGGCAACACAGAGACACACAACCACACTCACACCTAGGGAGAATTTAACCAACTAACCTGACAGTCATGTTTTTGGACTGTGGGAGGAAGCCGGAGTACCCAGAGAGAACCCACCATGCACAGGGAGAACATGCAAACTCCATGCAGAAAGACTGGGGCCGGGAATCAAACCCAGACCCTTCTTGCTGCAAGGCAACAGCTCTACCAACTGTACCACTGTGCACATTACTAAATAATATATTCAAAAAATTATGACTGGTTGTGTGCTTTGTAAGATGCTCATCATACATCAATATCAAAACATTCTATTCCTAAACTATTCTGTTTTCCCCATTAAGAATATTTAGGCAAGGTAACAGCTCTACCAACTGCGCCACTGTGCAGCCCTATGGTAATATTCTATTTACAAAATATAAATGGTAATATGTCCATCTTACTTGTGAAATGTTATCCCCCGAGATCTCACATCAATAGTCAGTCCCTGCCAGATATTTTTGTTATCGACGAAGTTTGAGTGTGAGGAGAAGTTTGGAGTGCAATCATTACAAGTTTTGAGAAGAAAAGACGTGTGTGAGGGTCGCCTTTAAATGAACCAAAACACAACGAACTGCATAGCACAACATGCTGAGTTAACAAACATGACTAGTGACTTACTGTTCAATCTCCTAACACAAAGTAGGAAGTAGTGATTTTTTTTATGGGAATATTTGTTTCACATTTTTAAAGAATATGTCACGGACTTGGCTGTTGACCAGTTATATCACTAGTGCAATAGCCCAGTCACTTGCGATAAAACAATTTAAATAGGTTTTAGAGCACTTGCAAAGAAAAACTTTGAAGCTAAAAACTCTGAAAAAGCAACATTGTGGTATTCACCAGGACATAGATGCAAGATTTTCACCACTTCATACCTAATGTATGTGTATTGTCAACAACCTTCCAATATCCTCCAAGGTTTAGAGGGTGATTTATGGATTAATGGATGGATAAAAGGCACCTTGTTTCAACAACATGCAAATGCAGGCTTCAGGGACGACGTAAAGGGGGGAAAAGTTAGGACAATTCCTAGGGCCAATGACCGACAGAGGGCCCTCCACAAAATAATTTTTTAATTTTTCTTCATAGAAATAGAAAAAACATCGGGGCCCTGTCAATTGCAAAGTTAATTATATTGTGTTTTTTAAATTGTTTTTATCAGTAAAAAATAAATGTTACCATTCAAAGACCAAAAAGCACACATCCATATTTACACTGAATTGAAGTTAAAGCTGCAGTATGCAACTTTTATTAACAAAAAGTACATATTTCTTAAGACTGTCAGTATGTTGAGAGATTAGCTGAGAATAATTGAATTCCTCTGCCTTCTCCCAGTGCTCTCTAGGAACAGCCAATCAGAGGC